CCAGGCCACAGAGTAAGACTCTGTCTCAGAAAAAAAAAAAAAAAAAAACCCCACAGTAAATGTTATCACACTAGTATTGTTATGATTATCATCTGCCTCTTTTGCATTCTTCTTTGTACCTTAGTTTTAACACTGGGTGGCAGCAATGCTCGCTCTTATTTATTTATTTATTTATTTTCTGTCAAAGGTCTCTCTCCAATTCATCACTTTTTTTTTTGTCATTTCAGCATATTATGGGGGTACAGATGTTCAGGTTACGTATGTTGCCCTTGCTTCCCCTCCCCCCAGCAATGCTCTCTCAACCAATTAAAATGACAGTTGCTAACTTTCTGGGATAGGTAAGATTGGTGAGGGCATGCCTAAAAGGCAGTATGTGTAGGGAGGGCACCAGCAAAGCAGGGGGACAGAGAAGGATAGAGATGGGGAGAGGGATGGAGACGGAAAGGAAGGGAGGGAGAAAAAGAATTTTTAGAAAGAATTTGATATTTCAAAAGAAAATAGTGAAACAGTCATTTCACCATTGGCGTGGGAGGGTACCAGATCTTTACTGGACATCTTTCTGCTTCTAGAAAATTTAGTGTCATTTGTGTTTTTAGACACCAGGGATTTTTTTGGTATTGACAATGTTTAAGGATCTTAAGTGGTCCTGGATGAGATTTAGCAAAATCAGCAATACAGCAACTGTCTGTAAAGCATAATGTGTTTTACTGCTCATTTTTATCTTAGCATTAATCTCAGTTATAAAAAACATGGCCATTATCCTCTATGTATAACATTCCTTCTACAACAAGACATTTAGTGGTATATTAAGTCTTATCTATTGCGGTGTAACCATTACCCCAAAAGTTTGGTGGCTTAAAATGAAGAATATTTATTATCTTTTCTTAGGGCCGGGAATCCTGGAGCAGCAGAGCTGGACGGTTCTGGCTCAGGGTCGTTCATGAAGTTTCAGTCAAGACATCAGCTGGGGGCAACACAGTGAGACTCCGTCTCTACAAAAAATAATACAAAATAATAGTAATAAAAAAAGACATCAGCTGGGGCTGTAGCTATTCGAAGGCTTGACTTACGGTGTGCACTGTCTGGGGGATGGGCTTGCTTGTAGCTCTGACTTGGGTGGGGCAAAAGGAATACAGGTAACCAAAGTATTTGTACCCCCGTAATATTCTAAAATAAAAAAATAAATCCAATACTTTCTTTTTCTTTTCTTTTCTTTTATTGATTTTGATTTCTTTCCTTCAATCCTGCAAAATTTTCTTACACTTGTGTGATGTACTCATTTTATTCCCTGTTCTATGCTAATTCATTAAAAAAAAATTCAGGTCAAAATCTACCACATTAGTTTCATAACCCATTGAGGACTTCACTGTTCTTTGTGAAAAGAAAACTGACACCCATTTCCACTTCTCAGTGCTCATTTTCCACTGGTTCTAGAACAGAAATGCTGAAGAGCAACCAAGTCCTCACCTAGTTTCTGGAAGGAACAAAAGCACCTTCTAAAGACGGGTCAGCCCTGCTAGCCTATCCTACTTAGGCAGGAGCTACTATCAGAGGTAGCTTGGCAGGTGGAAAGGTTACTGCATTTAACTTCAAAACTTGGCCTTGCAACTTGCTCTGTGACTCTGGGCAGATCTTTAACCTCTCTGAGCTCATTCCTCCTCTCTACGATTGGCATATAAGTAGTGTCCCCTTTGCCTATTTTATAAAGTTGTTACCACACTCACAACTAGATACTTAGGCACTTATGTGGCAGAATCTAAAGGCATTGCTACGGAAAGTTTTCGGCACTTGTCCCTGCAGCCGGCCAAATCAAGAACGAGGAGAGGTGGTTCCAGTATGGAGGAGGAAAGGGGAGTTTACTAATTTGCCAGCAAATGAGAATGGCAGACTCCTGTCTTAAAGTACCATTTTCCTAACTACAAGCAGAAATACAGAGCTTTTAAAGGGAGGGTTTTCGGCTTTAGGTGATTGCTATTTAACTACAGTTGATGGTTCTAATCCATCCCATCTCTGGGGAAGACAATCTCCTGATCCCTGCCCAGACAATTCCACTGTTCCTGTGGCACAAAGAACAAAGGACACTCCCTGCTGCTCTGATTACTGGTCTTGGGCAGGGAGGGATGCAGGTTTTAATTCCCAAAATGAGTGGGGGAGGTTTTAAAGAGACAGCCCCTAAAACATTTTTGCCCTTTTTCAGGCGGTTCCCTCTCTTACAGCGTGATCTTTCAGGTCACAACAACCCTCGAAGACACAGAGTATTATCCTCGTTTTACAGATGAAGAAACTGAGGCTCAGAGAAGTGACGTGCAAAATCTCGCGGTGAAATCTTAAGTGGCAGAGCTAGAATTCCAAACCCGTTCTGAGTCCTCACCCAATATGGAAACGTTGACGTTCCGTGGTGGCCATGTGGTGTATTAACACATGGACTCACGCCGAATTTCTCCCCGCAGTGCACCAACTGTGGAAAGTGCTCGGTGGGCCACGCTCCCTGACCCCGTCTCGCTCTGGACAGGAACACGTCCAATGCCACACGTGGGCTCTGAGCCCACGGCCTTGCGCGCGCCAACACCACGGCCGCCGCTCCTCAGGGGTCGCCAGTCAGAACCGGGCACATTTCTTTAAGGGGCGGCCCCAAACGAAGTCCCCAGCTCGCTCGGATGCGACCCTTACGTTTGAAAAGTGTCGTTTGCGGCAAGGCCCGGCGCACAGCGCTCTGTTCGCTCGTCGGTTCGTTCTGCCGCGCGCGCCCTTGCTGGGCCTGAGACCGAGGCCCCGCCCGAGGGGACCCGCGGGGCGCCGCTGCCGGGCCTGGCGCCCCCACGGGGCGGGGCGGGCACCACAAAGCGCTTTATTGAGGCCCCGCGTGACGCGCGCCCGCCCGGGCCTCGGCGCAGAGAAGGAGGGAGGCCGGTGCGCGCGGCGCGGGCCCGCGGCGTGTGCGCGGCCATGCGCGCTTAGTTGGGCGCGCTCTTGCCCGCGGCCGCGACCGCGATCCGCCGAGCCCCACGAGCCCCGGGAACGAGGCCGCCGGCGCCGGCCCGCGGGGACCAGCCGCCCGGGCTGCCCGCGCCCGCGAGCGCGCGTCGGGGAAGGCGGGCCGGGCGTGGGGAGGGGCGGGACGGGGCCCCCCTCGCGCCTTGGCCGCGGGCCCTGCGGGCGCCCGAGGCCTCCACCCCTCAGAGAACCGGCTCCTACCGAGACCTGCGCGTCCAGGGAAAGGCAGGGACTCGCCCCGAATCAGCGTGCAAGGGTGGGGACGCGGGAGTGGCGCTAGGAGTTGCCGTTTTCTAAGTTCAGATATTCGAATGACGGAAAACCTGGGAAGAATTGCTTGGTTACAGGGCTGGGGCTGGGGGCGGAAAGGGCCTGTGCCCGCCGAGCCGCTTGTTGCCTAACCTTGCCACGATGGAGCGAGCCGCTTGTTGCCTAACCTTGCCACGGTGGAGCGGACGCATCTTGGCGATGCGGCGTTTGGGCCGGTTTGGCAGGCTCGGTCGAGGACAAAACACCATGACGGAACACCGAAACCTTGTGTCAGGATGACAAATCTTACTGGGCATTTTCCCCTATGGTGGCAAAAAAATGATAAAATGAGTTCATGGAAAACAAAAGAGAATACAGTTTTGCACTTGGGGTTCAAGTTCAACGAATATTTGTTAGGGACTTTCTGACACTCAAAAATGTTTTTTCTTTTTTTTCTGTATCTTTTTATTATTTGGATAAGAAAATATTCAAATGAAAGCCATTAATTAGATGCGTTGCAATCATTTCAGGCCAAGTGAACCGAGTATCTGTGACATTACATCAGGCACCTATGTAAGGAAATTGGACTGTAATAACTCACCATGGCATACGGACTGCCAAGAAAGAATACGGTGAAAACCATTTTGCGGGGCAGTTGTTACGAGGTGTAAGTATTTTTATTTACAGTTGGCACTGACTGGGGTGGGGAGAGTCTTTGTGAAAATAAAAGTGCCGGACACTCATGCTCCCCGTGAGATACTGGAGTATATGAGGCATTTTCAGATGTCTGGAAGTGATTTTTTTTTTTTGAGACAGAGTCTCACTCTGTTGCCCGGGCTAGAGTGCCGTGGCGTCAGCCTCGCTCACAGCAACCTC